AGACCGCATAGGCAGCTGCTTAGGGGGGGCCACCCAGAGGGGGGCTCCAAAATCCCCCACACAATTTTTTTCCCCTTAACATTCAATAAATGGTGGAGTGGAGTGGATGTGAAGAGCATTACAGAGGAAGTGAAAGTCAAAAGCCTCAAGGCGCAGTAGAAAAACAAAAAAAGATTTACATTTGCAAATTTGCACAAACCATTTTCTTTCTTATTGTTTGTTATTTTTTTGCACCAAAATTCGGAAATAACCCATGTAATCATGAGCGGGTAGTACGTATATAACCAGTGGTGGATGAAGGACCTGAAAGCCACACTTGAGTAAAAGTACAGGGACCGGGTGCATAAAAGACCTTAGGTTTTCCCCTTAAGAAGTATCACACTTAAAGCTTAATTTCTCCTCAGTTGAGAGGCTTACACAGTTGCACAGAATCCCTTAAAAGGTTTTGTTTGTTAAGGACAAACTCATTTACAGCGTTGAAAGAGATTTTACAGCGGTAAAAGTTTCCATTGGGATTGTTTGTTTGCTTGTTCTCATGCTTTTGATGCCTGTTTTTGTTGCATAAAGTTGGCCTATAATTAGATAGTGAAAAAAAGACAAGACAATCATAGAAAGCACAAGCTACAAAGTAAATTTGATCCCCCAAATACCAATAACCAGCTTCTTCTGATAGCTGACAATAATGGCGGCCAGCTGGCAAGAAACAATTTTGTATTACAATTTAAAAGTAAGCTAAAATGTCTGAAAATCTTTTAGGTGACAAATAGGCAACTCAGAAACAGAATCTTGGTTTATATTTGATCAGCGCTACTTAGTTTTCCTGTTCAATCTCATTTTTTTCGGCCTCTGTTTTCTCTGTCTTCTCAAACTTTTGCTATTACAGCTGAACACGACACTAAAATATGTTTCTAAAAACACTGTAGGTGAGAAACAGGCAATACAGTAACATAATTTTGATATGTATTTCATCAGCACTGCCAAATTTTACTGTTTGATCATATTTTGGTCTGCGTTTGAGAGAGAGAAGGGCAGGTCTGTCTCTTGATCTGCTTCTATACTCTTTGTGTCCGTGGTGGCGGTATGGGTGGCAAGCAATACAAAAGTGAGAAAATGCAGCCTGTAGTTCGAGCGACAGCCTGAGAGCAGGGGGGGCGAAGCGATATATCTAGGCACTGGTTAAACTGGTTAACCACAGTTCATTTACACAGACTGCCCACATTGTTTTGATAGAAAGCTGGTTGAAAATCGGTGAGGTATCCCTTTAAATACCGCTATGTCACACCATTGTGGGGCACGTAGGATATCACATGAATCGCTGTATGAGGATGTGTTGTGATTTCTCATTAGCCCTTGTTTTTAGTTTCATATACAATAAATATAATAATAAAAATGATAATTTTGGGGGCTAACTTCGGGGTGACAAATGTGTTCAGTCCGGCTCTGTACATAGATACACACTTTCATAGAAACGCTACATTTTACACAAAGTGATTTTGTCTTTTCATTTGTTGTCTCTCAGGAAGGTGAAGCCTACGCCATTGAGACATTTGGCAGCACAGGGAGAGGTGCCGTCCACGATGACATGGAGTGCTCACATTACATGAAAAACTTCCATGTTGGACACGTACCAATAAGGTTCTGCTGTTTTCATCTCCTCCCTCTGTTGAAATGCAAAATACTGATCCTGAAAATTGTTTATAGTTTAATATTTGCCTCTTACTCTTCCAATCTTAAATGATAACAAATGAGGCTGTGAACATAACGCTTGTTGTTTACATCCATAGAGTCACTCTTCAGTTTGTCTCACTATCGAATCTTCTGTGCCGCAGACTTCCAAGGGCTAAACATCTGCTGAATGTAATCAATGAGAACTTTGGCACTCTGGCGTTCTGCCGCCGCTGGCTGGACCGCCTGGGCGAGAGCAAGTACCTGATGGCGTTGAAGAATCTGTGTGACCTTGGCATCATAGACCCGTACCCACCTCTCTGCGACATCAAGGGCAGCTACACGGCCCAGTACGAGCACACCATCCTACTCAGGCCCACCTGCAAGGAGGTAGTGAGCCGGGGAGACGACTACTGAGCATGCGCCCAGAACTGAAGGCGGAGCAGGAGGAGCATGACAGCTCAAAGACAACAAACCTCTGCAGACTGATCGCAATTATGCAATATTTCTCTGATAAAAATTTCCAATGCTTCAGTAGGTAATTATTCTAGCAAGAGCAAAAGACTTGTGTCATGGCAGTAGCTTACTAGTGTTTATTTTTCCAAAGAATCAAGCCAGTAGACAAAGGGCACATCTTTATGAAACGTAGTGTTGTCATTTTAGTCATATTTTAATGTGCTGCTTTTAGGAAATATGCAAAAAATATATGCAAACAAAACATGCAAAAAAAGGTTTTGGCGAATGCCTCGCCTGGAAATGCTTTGCTTCACTGCATTGTTAAGACCTTGTGAGGAAACTGCAATGAAATATTTATATTTCTATATTTCTTTGCTTGAGGCAGTTTTATAAGAAATAAATTGTTATAAATCTTGCATTGATTGCTGTGTGCACATTTATGGAGGCTTGAGAGCTCAGCATGCTCGATTACATGACCAGTGTCTGATGATGTAAAGGTGTATTTCTCTCTTTTAACCAAAGGAGGGCGGTACTAAAACATGGGTCAAACATCAGTCAGTCATCTGTGTTAGTGAAGATGTTACAATGACACTCATCAGGTTTCATAATGTCACCATGGAACGACACAGACGTTTCCCAGAAGCATTAAGAATGAGCACACTGAGTGTAGTTTATACAGTTTATATGAAAAAGAAGAACATACAGGACACACACAAATAGCTTTACAAATATCACGTTGATGGCGGAGTACATTCAGGCACCCTAAATCACCACTTTGTCCTTTACAAGAAAAATGCTCAGCCCATTTCTCTTATTTTGGTAAAGTCTTTGGGACAAGGACACGGGCTGTGATGTCATGTTTGAGGAATGCATCATGTCTCCTCACAGAGTTTGTCCTTCTCCTTGGAGACAGCAGCCCGTCCTATTCTTAACTGGGCCTGGCTCAAAAATGGCCTGTGGACTCTGGATCTGATGCGCTGTGATGTCAATGAATGCCCAGGCTTTTAATACATATTTATTTTGGGGCCGGAGGAGTCACAGGCCAAAAAGAGGAGCATGTGTTTAGAGAGTGTGTGCTCCCGTTCTCACACTCACACACACTCTGGCTCCCACAGGGTCATGTTCAGAGAGCCCTTCTCAAGTGAATCCTCCTCGTGTGGAAGCAGGGCGACTGAGGACAGCAGAAAAATCCTCACAGAATCACATCTGGCTGAAGCAACCTGACAATGAGCCACTCTTATAACTGAAGCAGGTGTGAGAGCAAACTTGTTCCTGAGCGTTTGAGACGGTTGTATGTACTCCAGACCGGAGAGGGTGGAGTGTGTTTTGCTCTTGTCAGACAGCAGGCGGGCGAGTTTGCCGGTGCAGAGCAGAGCTGTTCAGATTAAGCCGCCTGATTCCTTTAATGTTTTTTTCATCCTCTCCCCTCATCCAGGAGTTACTTGTTCTGACCTGTACAGTCCCAGACTCCCTGCCAAGGACATCAAGCAAACACACACATCCACACTCACACACATTCTGATGTTGACTTCATTCATGATTTATCGCCAATATCTGTGAGAAGACAAGGATGATTCAGGCCGTGCCTTTGCACGATTTCCAAGTCAACAGCTCTCAATGAAATTGATACAGTGGGACGTGACTGGCTCATCAACTCTGACAGTAACTTAGTGACAGTTCATCCCAAAATCAAAAATACATATTAGCCCTCTTACCTGTAGTGCTATTTACAATCTAAATTGTATTGTTGTGAGTTACCGAGTGTTGAAGGTATTGGCCGAAGAGATGTTTGCCCTCTCTTGAATATAATGGAACTAGATGGCACTAGGGCTGCCCCCGACTAACAATTTTCCTAGTCGACCAATAGTCGTCATTTAGGGCCATTAGT